ATCTGCCCTGTGTCTGTCTGGAAGTCCCTGGCACCGACGCACTGGTAGTTGGCCGCACACCAGCAAAGCCGGTAGAGCCCCCCCGGGCTTGAGATCACCTGACCCGAGCCCCAGGTGAAGCTGGAGCCGTTGAAGCTGGCGTTGTCCGAGGGCCCGTCAAACCACCCATATTGACCTGGCTATGTGTCAAAATAGAGAGTTGGACCCCCCCCCCCAATTGTGATGTTCCTTCTGCTACCTTTCAAACCACCTTTGAAAGGGTACCCGCCAAAAAAGACACACCCACCTGCAGCCACTAAGGGCGAGTTGTAGATGGCCCACTTGTCGGAGCTCTGAATGAACTGCAGGGTCTCTGGGTGCGCACAGGTGTCCAACACCATCATCTTGTCACCGTTCTGCGTGAAGTGGCCCTCAATGCCGGAGAATGCACAGGGCTGCCCTGCCACGCAGGTCCGGCTGTAGGTGAGAGGATACGGTCCCAAAAAGGCCAGGTGCCCCATGTCCACCCGGAAGTCACTGGCTTGCTCGCAGGTGTAGTTGTGGGCACACCAGCAGAGACGGAAATTCCCGCCCTTGCTGGTAGGCCTGACACCCCGACAGTCGTAGTTGTAGGGCTCCAGGCAGTTGGGCTCCCGGCCCCAGCTCACCAAAGTGCCGTTGTCCTCCGCCAGGCTCGACACACCGCCGCCCGTGAAGCGCAGCGGTGCAGTGAAGAAGCCGCAGGTCTCCAGCACCATGAGGCGGTCCCCGTTGCCCAGGTCTTGCCCCGTCAAGGAGGCCGCAAAGCAGGGCTGCCCCGATACGCAGGTGCGGTCCTGGTACAAGGGCGCCGGGCCGATGATGCTTATCGCCCCCGCATCCGTCTGGAAGTGCCGACTCAGCTGGCAGTTGAAACCCGAAGCACACCAGCACAGCCTGTAGAGACCACCTGCCGATGAAATGGAGTGGCCTCTGGCTTCAGCCAGTGCAAAGGATGAGCCATCTGCCTTGGATGCAAGGCGAGAGAAGGAAGGGCTGCCAGAAGTTTACAAATCCGCAAAAACCAACAGAACACTGTGCCCGGTAAAGCCGAGCGTCTGATTCGGTCAGGCCTCCATCAATCATGCGAGGCACGATGGCATTCAAAGCTGTGAAGTAGTGATTGGCCTTGCTGCTCTGCGTGCGAAATTCGTTCTTTGCTAGACTCTGGGCTTGCAATCATCTGCCTTTTATCACCCATGCTGCATGACACAACAAAATCTTCAGGTCCCTGCGCAGGTGTCCAGGACCATGATCTTGTCCCCTCCCTGCGGCCGCAAGCAACAGATTCGCTTGACATGCTTGACCTATGCGGTTGAAGGTAGGTGTCAAAAGACAACGCTAGCAGCCGGCATCGTGCGCCTGCAAATAGGCGCCAGTGATATTTCCAAAGGCACAGGGCTGTCCAGCCACGCAGGTCCTGCAAGCGCAAACCAGACAAAAACGGATATCAACTGGGCAAAGGAAACTGGACACGCCTGCTCTGAAAGCTTGGCCAGGGGCCAACCACGTGAAGGGTCCCCGCGTCCGTGCGGAAATGGGACCTTGGATCGGATCTTGCCTTGAAAAAGCAGCCAGACCAAGCCACCAAAAAAGCAGCAAACCGAACAGCCACCCGATCTGGGCGATCGATTTGGCGGGACACGGACGGCTGCAGTTCATCGAGGGCTGCGGGTGTGCGCACCAGCAAAGCCGGTAAAGCCCTCCAGGGGTTGAGACCTGCAGCTGAACCCACTTCCCAAGCTCCGAGCTCCGAGCTCCGAGATCTGAACTAAGTTGCAGGCCTCCACATGACCCCAAGAGAACGTGATGCCGCCATCTGTTGCTGGCTGCGAGATGGGCAATGACCTGCTCTCAGGATATTTCTTGAGTGTACCATGTGTACCAGCTTTTGTGCTGTACAGGAAAACCAAAAGGAAAACAACATTGGAGGGGTCCCCTAAAAAGAAACAGGCCCACATGTCTTTGCCCGGGCCTGGGAGCATCAGGGTTGTTCCATCTGGGAACAATCGCAGCCATGCTACCGCAGGTGTCCAGAACCTCCAGCACACGGGCACGGGTTGCCCGCTTTGCTCAGCTTCTTTCTTGGTGGTTTGGATTGGGCAGTTTCCCATTCACCCTCTGCAAGAACCAGGGCTTCAAATCCCCAAACCACAAATCCGAACCACCAATTCGGAGTGATCTACACAACTTGCTGAGCACACGGCCATCATGGTATCTCCATCAGACAGCAAGTGCCCTTGCAAGCCCGACCATTTGCATACCTACACAAGGCGTGCGAGCAAAGTCTGCGCACTTCCGTCTCCTTACGCCGAGCCATTACAATGTATGTCATCTCACCGAGAACCTTGCAATTGCCAAAAGCATACGCCCAAAACCATGCAAGGAATTAGCAAGAGTGGTCGCCCCTATTTATGGCTGTGAATGTGCCCGGTTGACCTCGCAACACATAGTTGCAAGTATCCACCAATTCCGATGCTTGGCTGGCACCGCGCCTGGCCGCTCACACAGGTACGCTCCTGGACGAGTGGAGCAGGCCCCACCAATGAGAGGGTCCCTGCATCGAAGCGGAAGTAGCCGGTTCCTGACACAGGATTGGGCAGGTACTGCACGCAGTAGGGATTATGCTGCGGATGTCTTCAATGAGTCTTGCTTCAATCGTATGTCCGTTCCTCATTAGATCAGGTGCCCCCGAATTGTGGCTTGGTGCTTTGGTGATTTGAACCCCAGGTTCTTGTAGATTCCTAACCACCAATCTAAACCACCAATTAGAGGGGACCTTGAATAGAGGTACCATGGCACCATCATGGAAACAACATTGAACCCATCTTGTTCAGGCTTTGCAACGGATGATGCATGGCCATGTTGGAGATTCTGCCTTGTTTTTCCGAAAGCAACGTGGATGGAAGTTGTCTTATTACAGTTGCAAGGAGGGCCCCTGCCCGGCCTAGGTCGCCAAAGTCCTTTGATGCCCAGCAGATGCGGTAGCTTCCACCCTGTGCTGTGACATAGGCTCCCGAATCTTCGCCTGTCCAACCAAACTCTGGCTCGAGCAATCAGCGCAGCTGTCAAAAGATCCCTGTGCTGTCCACCAGCCTCCCCAGCTGTAGACGCTGCCAGAATCCGAAGTGCTGTTGTAAGCCGGCAACGACCTATGCTGGGCGTCGTAACATGCAGTACCTCCATGAGCAAAGCATGTGCCGGCAAACCTCCCCGCCTTCCTTCCGAGGGGAAGCGGGGTACGATATGCTCCGAATTGTCGTAGCCTTCACTTGGCCCCTTGAACTTGGAACACCTCGGCTTGCGCACTTGCTCTGTGCCCAGCTGTGCCCAGCCGACGGGTGAAATTGGCAAAATGTATGGGCTGCTGGGGCTGCTGGCTCATCCATGACGATGACACGATCACCATCCTTCCAGCTGGCAAGTCGCAGTGCTGTCCTTGTGCTGTTTCTGATGCAAGCTGTGTCCTCCAGCCCAAAGCCAGTCACGCCACCCCACATACACAGCTGACCTACGGGGCAGCGAGAGCCAAACGTTTGAGCGACATCCAGCGCGTGCGGGGAGAGCTGACATCGCAAGGCCAGTACTGAGACACAAACCGCTGATGCAGGTCCGGTTGTTGTGAAAGCTGCCAGGCCCCAGCACCTCGCGCGAAAAAGGAAGCCGCCGCATTCGCATTCGCGGCGATGGCACACAAAACGCCGGCCGGGGGCCTGGATGGAGCCAATGTCCACCTCGAAGTCAGAGGTGAGGGCCTGCCAATCGCAAGTGCGGGGCAGAAAATTGGTCGGAAGTGGAAACATGGAAACAAGAGGTGTTTGGCCATTTAAGGTTGGGAGAAACCATGGCATTTGGGTGCTTGTTACTTGAAAGGAACCCTGTTTTGGGTTGTCCAAAAGGAAACACCCATGCAAACCACCCATTTCGAGGGCTACCCCATTTAGAGACACTCTAAAGCCTGGCCTGGGCGAAGCCGCTGGCAGCCCAGCACAGCCGGTAAGTTCCGCCTTTGGCCTAAGCAGCTTTGCCTCCTTTGCCCCCTCTGAGCTCCTTGGTGGCTTCCCCTTTCTACCGGCAACATGGGTAACCTTGAGGCGCAGAAAAAAGGAAAAGAGGCGCTTCCAAACATTGAGGGAGGAACTCCGTAAGGGCCGAACAATTTACAAGCCGACTGGCCCTCTGCGCGCAAGGGCCGTTCTCATGGAGCTGCGGAGTGCTATGGCCCGAGCCGAGATGGCGATGGAGTACTCCCCGCCCCAGGCGAAGCTTGTGCCACCGTCGCTGGCCGGGTCGGAGATGCCCCGTGGCCTGAAGCGGGAGGTTCACAGAAAAAAGAAAAGAACAAATATGTGTTTTTTCTAACCCCCTTAAAGGATGCTAGGGAAGGTTCAGGATATACTTTTTTCTGGAGGTCATTCCCTCGCTCACTTCCTGAGAACCAGCAACCAGCAACTTTGGACCTGGGGCCTCTGCTCTCCGGGAATGCCGTCGGCATCACCCACGAATCGGGGCACATAATCCACCTGCATTGCAACAGCATCGCGCGACTGATGTTCGTGCTCAAAGGCTGGCACGTTCAGAGCATCTGATCCACAGGTCTCCAGGACCATGATGCGATCGCCGTCCTGTTCGGAATGGCTGAAGACAAACCGCCGTCTTTCCGGATGCTCCAAGCCCTAAGTTGCCATCGCCGTATTTTCCTCACAGGCGCCCGAGGTCCGGGCACTCAAGTGAAGGCCCGTGATGTTGGTGAAGCCGCAGCGTTGCCCAGAGGAACAGGTGCGACGTTGATCTTAGCCAGCTACGCTCAGCCATCTAACGGTCTCAAGCAACATGTTTAGGCTCATGATGATGACAAAGTGGACAAAGTCTTGTGTACTGTGAAGTCTTGCGCCACTTGCATAGACCTTCATTCTTGCTGGGTTGTCTAGATTTCTTTCGGGTAACCATGAGCACTTGCAACATGTCCATCCAGCGAGACGCACATGTGCATGCCGCGAACATGCAAATCACATGGGCCGCAGCCTAGAGGTGCCGGGCCGGCGAGATCAAAGCCTCAGCTTCAAGACGGCAATTCATTTTAAGGGATCCTTTGAAAGTGGTGGACATAAATCCCCTGAATGATGTCCAAGGGTCCCCAACTAAACATCGAAGTGAGCTTAGCGTGTCAAAGTTGCTAAACCACACCTCCCCATAAAGGTGGCATACAAGCTCTATGGAGTCTCTCCTTGTTTGCTTTGCAAATTGAAGTGCAAAGCTTAACAATTGATCTGCGTGACAAGTATGACATCAGGGTATGCAAGCGAGCCACGGCCGAAATCCACGCGGAACTCTGGCACCGCGCTGCAGGTGTATCCCGAAGCACACCAGCACATCCGGAATCGGCCGCCCATGGCTGTGATCGTCGCAGAGCCCCATGAAACCATGATGCCACCATCAGTCGCACCCGCTGACAGGCTCTGGATGCCGTTGTTACTCGGAAATCTTGGTAAGTGCATGCCAGAGTCGGAGGAACTGTCATAGTGAGTGAATTGGGACACGTTCACATACATGCCGCAGGTCTCCAGGATGTGCACCAAATCCCCATCCTGCAAGTCGACCCCTGTGAGAGGGTACAGGTGGCACGGCTGTCCAGCCACGCAGGTCTTGTGCTGGTTCAGTGGACCTGGCCCCACCAGAGTGAGCGCGCCGAAGTCCATTCGGAAGTGATCCGCCGCGCTGCACTGCATGCCGTAAGGACACCAACACATCCGGTACTGGCCTCCCGCAGAAGACGGAGGCACAAGAGACTCCTTGGCCGTTCGATAGCCGCCGAAGCGGAACTCATCACCTGGCACCGCCCCGGTGAATGCTCCAGCTCGCTCACACAAGTACTGCCTCGAGTTTGCACAGGCGTCATCAAAGAATGTGCCATCGCCCATGATATAGACGCAATCCTCGGTGTTTGAGAGAGTTGTCGCCGGCTGGTAGGACCCCCAATTGGAGAAGCTGAAGGTTGTGCCGGACGAATACACGAATGTGCCTTCCGCAGTCCTGTCATTCAACCCGATCCAGTATGTTTCCGCAGGATCAAGCACCCATTCCATCAAGAAGTCCAAATCCTCTTGTGAATCTATGCTCGCCAGGTGCCCACCATAGAGCACATCACAGGCTGCCTCTGCATCCACCCAGGAAAGTGCTGTTGCAAAAAGGGCGTAGCATGTGCTGGTGGGGTGATACGGAATCCAGGTCATGGCAGACCCGCATGGATGAAGAGAGGAGATGGCCGGCTCGGAAATGCCCTGAGCTTGGCCCAATGGACCTCCTGGACTTGGCCACCGGTCTGCGACAGTGCCACAGCCCCACTGGGCCAGGCTTGCATTATAACCTGGCAGCAAGGCATCAGCTGCATCCTCCAAAGGCTGGAAGGGGCACATGGGCTTCTGAGACACACCGCCACACTCATCCAAGATCATAATCGTATCCCCGTCTTGTAGCGAATAGCCCTGGATGTTGCTGACCACGCAAGGCTGCCCTGCCACGCAGGTCCTGTGCTGTTCCATTGAAGTGGGGCCAGCGAGGCTGAGTTCGCCCACCTCAACCTTGAAGTGCTCGAACATGGAGCAGCTCTGCCCAGCAGCGCACCAGCAAATCTTGTAAACCCCGCCAGGCGCCGAGGGGTACACCGTCCCGCCGCCCCACGTGAAGTCCGCCCCTCCATTGGTGGCTGGGTCGGAGATGCCGCAGGCGATGCTGGGCTGCTCATAGAGGCCATGGGTGGCGTTGTCGCAGGCCACGTCTCGGAGGCAGTGCTGTGAGCTGCGGCAAGCCGCCGTGAAGCGCGGCACCAGGCTGTGGTGGCTCAGAGTTCCGTCCCAGATCATGCCCGACGCCTCCAGCCCGGTCTGGCCACAAGTGTCCAGCACCATGACCTTGTCGCCCACAGACAAGTCAGAGCCCGAAAGCCCACTAATGCCACAAGCCTGGCCGGTCATGCACGTCAAATGCTGCGTGAGGGGGGCAGGTCCTCTGAGCGTCAAAATGCCTGCGTCGGCATTGAAGTCGGAAGTGCTGCTGCATGGCAGGGTTCCAGAGCACCAGCAAAGCCGATACAAGCCGCCCGAAGCCATGGAAGGCGTCTCTGCCCCCCAAAGCTGTCCAAACAAATGTTGTGATGGCTCAGCGTGCGTGAGGTAGACTTCAGCACTATCTTCAATCCAACCACCGTAGCTAAAATTCCAGGAGGTTCCATTTCCCGTCACCACCAGGGATTCCAAGAACCATCTGTCGCTGGTGTCTGAGTAGATCTTCACGCCTGTCCAGTCCCAAGATGGAGGCCAGGAGGTGATGACCTCAAAGCTTTGATAGCCCTCCTGTAGATCTGCGAGCACCAGGTCGTCCGCGGAGTGGCACTCCAAGTTCGAGCGGCACACGTACAAGCGGAGGGGCCCTGAGGAGCCAGCGCCAGGACGGTTGCCCGTGAGTATGGTGGCCACAATCGCCTGGTTGGGAGCCGATCTCCACTCCTGCATAAAGCCCATCACCCGGTCCTCCTGTCTCTCCACGGTGCCGACGGACTTGTACAAAAAGCACGTGAGGTCACTCGGGCGATGAACCCAAGCCACACAGTCCAAGTACAAGCTTCTGCCACACAGGGCACAGCACTCACTCTGCGTCTTGCCCGTCAAGCCAGATCCATGGGCATGCTGGGCCTCACTTGCCACCAGACCCAAGCCCACATGGCCATAGCACTTGGACGGCTGCACGTCTGTGGTAGAGTTCTGGGGAAGGCCAGAAACGGCTGTAGCGCCGCAGGTGTCCATGATCATCACCTAAAAGGTCTCGCAATGGTGGACTTGTTTTTGGGTGACTTTAAAAAGGAAGCAACCCGCTTTGAGGGTTTCATCGGTTCCCCCCAATTTCGAGAACCACGCGCCTTGTCTCCCGCATCTAGCTCCAGGCCCTGGAGGTCGAAAGTGGCCACCTGCCCCAAGGTGCAGGTGCGCGCCTGGCCCGTGTACGGGCCGACCACCACCAAGGTTCCCACCAGCACGCGGAAGTCCTCGGGAGCTGCGCAGTTGGCGCCGCACCAGCAAAGTTGGTACCGGCCCCCGGAGGCGGTGAGCGGCAAGCCCGAGGTGTGGCCCCAGCTAATGACCTGACTGCCTCCCGTGGTGTTGTCCGAAATGCCCAGACCGGGGAAGCCGGAAACTGCCGGTGTGCGGCCACACTGCGACAAAACTGCATAGGTGCTCAAATCCGAAAGGCCCTGCCCAGTCACACCAGTGAGGACACAGTTGCTGCCGGCCATACATCTCTGCGTTTTACCTCGCAAAGTGTCCAAATCAGCATCGCCGAACAGGTGGGCAATAGCAAAATCTGCGAGGCCAACATCGAAAAAGCGGACGTCGTCCAATGCTCCGTGAAATGGGAGGTCCTGCAAGAAGTTGAGAAGCGGCACCCCATCAGAGTCGCTCATCTGCACATCCGGAGCCAAGCTTGCGAAGCCAAAGCGCTTTCCATTTCTGTAGAACAGTACGGTGTCGGCTTCCTTTACAAAGGCAATGTGCACCCACTCGTTCACTTCAAAGACTTGTCCCAAAGATGTGCTGGCTGAGGTAGGAAGCACAGGTGCGTAAGGCCTCGATGTTGGGATCTGGTAGACATTTGTGAAATTCTGTCCTGTCTCGTCCAGCATGCTCCACGCCACCCCGCCTTCTGGGGTCATTGAAATGGATGGCGAGATCTGGAGATCTGGCAGATGCTGCGCAAGGCGCCGCCCCAGGATACCGCCGGAGCCCAAAGAGTAAGGCTTCACCCACAGGGACACGGTGAACTCGTGGACAGAGGCATTGGTGGAAGCATCACGCAGCAGGGGGTCCAGGGGTATTGCCAAGCCGTTGCCATCGAAGAGCAAGGCTCCCTGGCTGTAGCCGTCCCGCCCAGAGACGCTGGCTTGGCTCACCGGCATGCCACTCGCTTCCAAATTCTCTCGGAGCTGGCCGTCATCCAGGGAAAAGGAGGCCACGCTCTCCGGAAAGAGGTCCCTGACCAAGAAGTCCTTGAACTTGGCTTCACGAGACACATCTCCCGTGATGAGGTACAGCCCGATGCGCCGGCCTGCGGTGCTCACAACTTGCTGCGCCAGCGGGAGCCACTCTGTCTCGGAGAAGAGGCGCTCACCCGGCATGCCACTTGTTTTCACGAAGAGCCGCGGCCGCTCGCCGGCATTGGAGTTCCTTGCATCGTCCGGCGCCTGCCAGGCTGCGGAGGCCAAGCCAGGACTATACCACAAGTCATAGCGACCGCTGCCCGTCCTTACCAGCTTCAGGGTCATCCAAGTTTCCGCCACATCCTGCGAGGCCACCGTGCCAGAAAAGCCCTCGCTGCCGTAGCGCAGGGCAACCACGCCGCTGGAACTTGCGAAGCCGCGGCTGGTAAAGCTGTCGAATCCAAGGAAAAGGTCCGGCATGATGCCATCCCTATCCAGAACGGTGAGACCAGCAGAAACTTCTGCAGATGTGACGCACACCGAGACACGCGCCTCCCAAAGGCCAGACGCAGGGGCCTCCACATACAGGATAGGCACAGTGCCCCGTGTTTCGCTGCCAGTGCTTGCCATACTGTGCATGGTCAGGGCGCCGCCATACTCCTGGTTTGCCACTTTCCGGACACGCATCAGAATCAATGTCCTTAACAACTCAAACAAAGCCTGTCCCAACTTCAAACAACTTGTGTTTGTCCTTGACTCCTAATATCAAGTCCAGACCCAAGCACGGTTGATGGCAGTCCGAATGTACACGCATGACGCCCCCCGCTCCTGGATCTGAACCGAGGTGGGGTCTGGAACGTCCCATCGCCAAATCTCCTTGGGCTCTGAAGGTCCAGCCACAAGGGTGAAGAGGTCAGCAAGGTACTCGGATGGCCCCATGAGAATCAGCGTTCCGGCCTCGACAGGGGGTTTTTATTCCTTCAAATTTGCATTGACGTATCAAGCCCTTCCGCGAAACCCTTCCGCGAAACCTTCCGCGGTGTGAAGGAAACCTTCCGCGAGCAAGTTTCTGCATAAGTTTATATAAGTGCTTCCGCGGGCCTTCCGCAGGCAAGGTGCTTGGGGAAACTGAGGAAGGTGGCTTCCGCGAGGGAATTCGTGTGCGCGGTTTGCTAGTACACATGCTTGGCGGCAACAACCGCCCAAACGAATCCAAACTACTATGCGCAAATCAACGACGTCCTTTCCGCGAGCTTCCGCCGGAAACAAACCTTCCGCAAACCTTCCGCGGCTGCAGTGCTGCGCCACCTTTTTTGTTGATATGTCAGCGTTTATACATGTTTGCTTGAGCGGGAAAAAGCCGCCACTCAAAATCCCTCTACATTTCTCTCGCGGAGGCCTACTTGGACATCCATGTCTGGAACCTGCGCTTCTCTGCCTACATTTCTGGCCACTTGTTCCTCCCCATGAGCAAGGCTAAAGTGCGTGTCATCCAGTTTTGTTGTGCAAACAGGAATCTGGGAGCATCTTGAACCGTCTTGGATTTTGGCAGTGACAACTTTCAATACATTCAAGCAGCACTTGGCCATTTCATCCGCCAACTACGACTTGTTTTGACGCTCCTGGCCTCAGTCTGGAACTCTTCCGAGGAAGCACAGCCACCGGGACTTGCTCCCGAACACCAGCAGAGCCTGTAAATACCGCCTGGCCAACACCCACATGGATCATACGTGTGCGCATGCTTCATTTGCTGGGCTGTCAAAATTGAAACCGCTGGTTGACAGGACTCCTTCACCTAAAACGACACCATCGAGCGCCGATTCTGGCAACAACGTTTCTCCGCCTGCCGCGGTGATGGGCTCTGCTGCGGTCCAGGAGAATTGGAAGGTCGCCCCCACGTAGGGCTCCAAGTTGAGGCGCCCGTTCTGCGGGAAGCCCGGGATCTCGGGGTAGCGGCTGCGGGGGGAAGGCCACGGCTCCAGCGCCGCGCCACACTCCTCCGCTGCCATGATCTGGTCGTCCGCGCTGAGATCCAGGCCCGTGATCCAGCCCCAGCATGCGTAGCCGGAGGCGCAGTACACCTCAGCTGGAACACATGAGCATTATATGTCCATGCTCATCAATTCTTTGGCTTGAAACATCCACGAAAACATGAGTTGTTGGCTTTCATCGGTTGTTGGCTTTCATCGGTTCTTCCCGTGAGATGGACAAAACACGAGTTTTTTCCGATCCGTGCCGATCCGTGACGCGGTGCCTGGTGCTGCTTCTGGGGGCCGATGACGTGGAGGTGTCCGATGTCCACCCCGAAGTGGTCCAACATCTCACAGGGGAAGCCTGCCGCGCACCAGCACAGCCGGAACTGGCCTCCCGCCGAGGTGAGGACCTCCTCGCCCCAGGAGAAGACCTGGGTGAAAGGAACACCAGACGAGTTCCTGGAGAAAATAGGTCCAAACCAGGCACCCCCAATCAGTTTCCATAGTTGAGGGGGCCTTTTTCAGGTAAACCAAAACCGTTTGGGGGCCGTCCCGCCTGGCCAGCGCCCAGGCCGGGCAGAGATAGGCCGTCGTTGGGGATGCCGGGCACCTCGGTGCCGAGCAGGCCGCAGGTGTCCAAAATGTGGAGCCGGTCGCCGTACTGCAGCTCCGAGCCGGAGATGTTCCCGAAAACACACGGCAAGCCGCTGATGCAGGTCCGGTCCTGCGACAGAGGCGCAGGACCAAGCAGCGTCAACTCCCCCAAGTCAGTGGCAAAGTGCTCGGCCAGCGAGCAGGACACGTACTCAGCTTGGTTGGGTCTGCACCAGCACAGGCGGTAGCTGCCGCTGGCGGAAGTGGTCACCATGTGCCCTACACCATCCATCCAGGCAAAGGCCTCACCATTTGTCATGGTGGTGGTCACCATACCGTCATTTGGGAACCGCGGTATAAGCTCTGAGGAACTTGCAGGGATGAGGCCACAAGTGTCTCGAATCATGATGAGATCAGCTGAAGACAGGCCCTCCCCAAAGATTGACTCGAGCTTGCAGCTCTGTCCACTCGTGCAAGTTCGGTCTTGTTGCAAGGGAGATGGGCCCTGCAACTGCAGGGATCCCAGATCTTGCCGAAAGTCCTGAACTGCTGTGCAATTGAAGCCACTAGCGCACCAGCAAAGCCGGTACATCCCACCATGCGCTGTCACACGAATGCTGCTGAAGTCGAACTTGGCGAGGATGCTCTGTGGAACTGTGGTGAGGGTGTTGCCTAAGGAGTCCTTGATCACTCCCTGCACTGACTGGGATGTGGTCAGCCCTTGCTGCGGCCATCCATGGTCCCCTGAGAAGTTCATGTCGTCAAGATTGCTCACTCCACAGGTGTCCAACACCAGCAGCTGGTCATCTATGGCTAGGCTCTGCCCAAGAATATCCTGAATCCAGCAGTTCTGCGCCGATGCACAGGTGAAGGAGTGATCCAACTGCGGACCCCGAAGGAGGAGACGTCCCACATCCACTCGCCTGTTTTCGGAGGTAAAGCAGTCCGCAGCTTGCGCGCACCAACAGATCCGGTATTGCCCGCTGGCGGCGGTGACAGGGGTGTCAAATCGCAGGGTCACCACATCCAAGCGCTGGTACTCTAAGGACTGTGGGAAATTCCACGCGTTGGAGTAGCCCTCATTGAGCACAACCTCGGGTTGCCCACTCACAGGCAGGCGGTCGATGGCTGTGGCCAGGCCACATGTCTCCAAGATCATGAAGGAATCTCCCGCGCTGATGTGAAGACCTTGCAAGCCCTGGATCTCACAGGGTTGCCCAGCCACGCACTCACGGTTCTGCTCTCCTCCGACCTCTGGGCCCAGGCGCGCCTTCTCCTGCAGGCTCAGCGTGCCCCAGTCCTGGGCTATGGAGATCTGCACGGCTTCGGGCGTCACGGGGCCCACCAGCCGCAGCTCCCCGACGGCCACCGCAAAGTCTGTGGGCACCGCGCAGGCCGCATCCGTGGCCTGCAGCGAGGTCCACGCGCCGAGGGCCTCGCGCTGGCCGCACCAGCACAGCCGGTACCGGCCACCCATGGCCATCACAGGCGCTGTGCCCCAGCTCACCGCAGAGCCGCTACTCACCACGCTGGCGGCACCTGGTTTTATGGGCGCTTTCTTTGAGGGTACCCATTTTGAGGTTGGATTGAACATTGAAACCAAAGGGACAACCCTGACAACCCTTGCAGGGGTCCCGGTCCCTGTTTTGACAGGCGCACCTGACCAACCAAAGCCTGGAATGTGGGAGGCTACGCCGCAGGTCTCCAGGGCCATGAAGCGGTCACCATCTTGGAGGTGCATGCCGGTGATGCCGCCGAATTGGCACATCTGGCCACTGATGCAGGTCCTGTCTTGGAAGTTCGGCACGGGCCCAATGACCGTAAGGCTGCCCAGGGTGACCTGAGGACCACAACCAGCAACCCACACGAAAGGCTCGCATTCGAAAGTTGGAAAACACACCGCACGCAAACTGTCCGTGACTTGGTCGTGCTTTTGCAAGACAACAACATCGGCTGTTGTGCGATGCGTCTTTTCTAAATACAGCCAGGAGGCTGCGTGGTACGACAACTCAGGCCCAGAGCTCGACGCCGCAGCAGACCAGCAGAGCTGGTACGTGCCTCACGCCCCAAGTTTGAGAACTATTGCACCCGAATCCATGTGGGTCGCTGTCCATCAACTAAGGCCCATACCCCCCGCAGCAGTGATCATGTCGAAAGTGAAGGAAGTCTCGGAAGTCTGGGCAGCAGCCGTGGAAGCGATCACACTGCGGACGCCGCAGGTGTCTAAAATCGCCAGTTGGTCGAAGACGGCGCCGTCCAGCAAGCCGTAGCCTGGGACATCATCCACCACGCAGCTGCGTCCGGCTATGCAGGTCCGATCGACTGCCTGAGGTCCGATCAGCTCCACCTGGCCAACGCTCACAAGGAACTGCTCCTCGCGAATGCAGCTGGCACCACTGCACCAACAGAGGCGGTACTGCCCGCCGTAGGCAGTCACGATCGTAGTGCCGAAGGTCAATTCGCAGTCCCCACCCCGGCAAGTGGTGTTGTCCACAAGTGGAATGAGTGATAGCAACCCTGAATCTGGTAGGCCACTTACAAGCCCAGCCACACCACAACTCTCCAGGATGAAATAGGAATCTGCCGCTGACAAGGTCTCTCCTGGTGGAACAGGGAAAGAACATGGCTGGCCACTGATGCAAGTGACAGTGTAAGCCGCTGCGGAAGGTCCCATGAGCCGCAGCTCTCCGACGTCAACGAGGTAGTGTTCGGCGGTGCTGCATACAAACCCGGCAGCACACCAGCACATCCTGTACTGGCCACCTCCGACAGTGGTTGGCTCTACCCCGAAGTCGATGCTGCTTCCACTCTGCCCCACAGACACCACCTGCCCGGCGCCCACCATGCCATCCAGAAGGGAGATGACACCACATGTATGCAGAATCATCCAGCGATCTGTCGTTCCAAGTCCAACCCCTCGTAAGCCATCGGCAAAGCACTCCTGACCGCTCACGCAGGTGCGATGCTGCTTCAAGGGAGCTGGCCCGACAACCAAAAGTCGTCCCATGTCTATGTCGACATCCCCTCTCCAGCAAAGACGGTACTCCCCACCGGGGCCAAATATCGTTTCATTGTCGAAGCTGGCCACAGCACCGGACTCCGAGATGCTGAACACGCCGTCAGCGGGCAAGCTGGGAAGCGAGGATGTGCCGCATGTGTCCAGAGCAACAAACTGGTCGGTGGATTGCAGAATTCCGTAGAAACCATCAAGCTGGCAAGTTTGTCCCGCCACACATGTCCTCTCTACTGGAAGTTGTGCATGGGGGCCAATAAGTAGCAGCTGGCCAAAGTCCACCCGGAAGTGCTGAGACAACTGACAATCGGAGCCCGACGCACACCAGCACATTCTGAATTGTCCACCCACAGATGTAACTGATGTGTTCCAGGTCACCTGCATGACTGTGTTTGCTCCATCATTGTTCTCCAGCATCAGGGAAGGAACTTCAAGTGGGAATCGTGGCACCAAAGCGCCAGAATCCTGACAATGATGCAAGCGAGCACTCAACCACAAACCTGACTGGCTCACCAAATGCAAGCAAACACTGTACCGGGGGGGGGTGTCTTTTTAAGGTACCCCTTTGTGAGGTTGGTTTTAAGGGATTCAAAAGGAAACTAGCCATTACCCCCATTTTGAGACAAACCCGTATGCACAGCTTACAGCAAGCTACATATTCACAAAGCCTGGAGTCCAGCCAAATCAAACGACTTGTCTCGGCCTACGCAGCTCGGGTTTGAATTCCAGTCCTCGGCCGCGCCACATGTGTTCAGAACCATCACGGAATCCGAGTCGCCTCGGGAAAGCGCTTTGCGAAGGCGAGTCCACCCACAACCGTGGCTGGTCGAATGCATGTCACATGTCAAATTACAAGGGTGTCACTGAATATTTATGCAGCTACGTCTTGTTGCATGCTAAAGGGTGGAGGGGCCTGACATCAAATGGTGTGCGGCCGGACACTGCAGTCGAGGTACTGAGGTAGAAGCCGACTGCCTGGAATTCACATGCCCGGCCTGGCAGGTGCTTTAAACTAGAATGCAGAGTGACCCATAAACGAGCCGCATGCTTGCCTATCTTGCCGTGTGCTCTCCCTGCCTGAGATGCACGTACGGTCCTGGTCCAGTCTGGGTCCGATGAGATCCAGATGCCCAATGTCCGTGATGAAGTCCTCCGCCAGGAAGCAGTCGAAGCCACCAGCGCACCAACAAAGTCGGTACTCGCCCCCCGCTGCCGTCAAGATCGCGGTCATAGCCCCGCTGCTTCCAAGCTGAAGACGGCTTGCGCCATGGGACAACAAGAGCCCTTCGCTGGGGAAGCTGTTCAAGCCTAGGACCGACAGGCTGAGTCCACATGTGTCCAAAAGGACTGCTGTGTCACCGATGTGCGGGTACTCCCCGGATATGCCTTCCACTACGCAAGGCTGACCAGACAAGCAGGTAGCACCAGTTTGCCGTGGCCCAATGAGCACAAGACCACCCATATCAACCTGAAAATCTTCAGCGGCGCTACAAACCTGCCCTCCGGCACACCAGCAAATTCGGTAGTTTCCCCCTGTGGCCGACACCCGCACATCACCCCAGGAAACTAGGGTTTCGCTGAGCGCCAGTGTTGAATTCACTTCATCAACGCCTGCCCCGGCAAATCTTGCAGGTGGAGATTTTGTGGCACATGTATCCAAGACATAATAGCGATCAGCTGTGGATAGCGCGCTGCCTGACAAAGCATCCAACAGGCAAGGTTGCCCAGATACGCAGGTCCTGTCTTGTGCCAATGGGGTAGGACCGATGATTTGCAGCTGTCCGACATCCACATCGAATTCAGCAGCCTCCCGGCAGCTAGATGAACTCGCGCACCAGCAAATGCGATACATGCCACCCGCTGCCGTCAGCGTGCCAGGTAGAGAGAGGCTCGCAAATGATCCTGGATCGACCAAGCTTGGCTCGAAGACGGAAACGGTGGTAAACCGACCGAAATCTGGCGCTCCAGTGAGGCTTGCAGCTTGCGCACACGTGTCCAAAACCACGAAGGCATCGCCAGCATTTAGTCGCCAGCCCTCAATTGAGAATGAGCAGAGCTGCCCGGAAATGCAAGTCCTGTGCTGCTGCCCTGCTCTGATTGGTCCAATCATCTCCAACTGCCCCATGTCAACTGCGAAGTGCACCAGCTGGTCACAGGGATCGGCACACCAGCAAAGCCTGTAGCGCCCACCACTTGGTCTTGTTACATCACCTGAGGACAGGAAGATGGTACCACCTGTGGGCTGCCAGGTAATGGCAGGCGAGAAATGCTCGATTTCTCTGTACCTTTGGGTGGGATCCAGGCCACATGTGTCCAGCACCAAAAGGCTGTGGTTGCCGTCAAGCCCCAGGCCGGTGAAATCTTCCAGCATGCAGGAGGAGCCCAAGGTACACGTTCGGTCCTGTTTCAAAGGCGTCGGGCCCAAGAGGTACAAAGCGCCAATGTCCGCGCCACAATCCCGGGGGCTGACTGATCCGGTGATATTCGGGCACCAACAAATTCGGTATGTGCCCCCAGCCGCAGTGCTGGCGCTGAAGCCCGCAGAAAGGGAAGAGGCTCCATTGGTAGGGTCGGGTGCGGAATTCAACATCAGCTGCAGGTCGAGGTTTAGACTGCTTGCTACTTCCGCCGTCCCGCAAGTGTCTAGCAGCAGCATGCTGTCACTGGTGCTGAACCACGTTCCAACGATCTCCTCAAAAGAACATGCTTGCCCCGTGATGCACGTGGAATGCTGTTTGAAGTTCGCAGGGCCCGCCACCGTCAGTGCTCCAACATCAACCTGGAAGTGAGCCAAGTTGCCACAGCTGCCAGTCCCGGAGCACCAGCACAGCCGGTATGTGCCACCTCCCAGTCTCAAGGCAGAAGAGGTGGCAAAGGTCGTGAAGCCTGAACCGTTGGAACCTGTGAGTTCGATCCTGAAGTCCGGCAGCATCGAGATATTGTCCAAGAGGTGCAAATCCATGGTGTCCACAAAGCAGGTGTCAAGCACCAGCAACTGGTCCTTGAGGTCCAGGGAATGACCTTCCAAGCCTCCCCACCGACAAATTTGCCCACTCACGCAAGTCCTATCCTGGTCGAGCGGACTGGGGCCGACGATTTCAAGAGCCCCAGCATCCACGCCGAAGTCTTCTCTGCTCTGACATGTGGCCTCTTGCGCACACCAGCAGAGGCGATACACACCTCCCGCAGCAGATATCGGCGTCCCCAGGGTGTAAAATGTCTCCTGCTCTTGTGGGCGGAAGTCATAGAGACCAGGGCATCGGTCATAGCAGTCTGGAACACCGTCATTGTCAGCATCAAAATCTGAAACCCCGCATCCACAAATGCCAGGTATGTTTTTGCCAGAGTCAGTGGGACATTGATCAATGCAGTCAGCAATTCCGTCACCATCGGTGTCTGTATCAGCAATGCCACAGCCGCACTGGCCAGGACCTGTTTTCAGTAGGTCGGAAGGGCAACCATCCACGCAATCCATGTGTCCATCAGCATCGCCGTCAATGTCAGCCACTCCACAGCCACAAACCCCCGCCAGGGTTTTGCTAGCATCGTTGGGACACGCATCGAAGCAGTTGGAGACTCCATCGCCATCGTCATCCGCGCTCGCTGCAGCGCAGCCGCACACTGGAGGTATCTGGTCTGCAAAGCTCGGGCACTTATCATGGCAGTCCGGAACTCCATCGCCATCTGCATCGCTCGCATCAGAAAGCCCACATCCACACAAACCTGGCAGAGTCTTGGAGGAATCATCGGGGCACAAATCAATGCAATCTGGCGATCCATCAGCGTCTGCATCAGCATCAGCAGTGTGACAACCACATTGACCAGGAGATGTCTTGTTCTCATCCAGCGGGCATGAGTCCAGGCAATCCGGCAGGCCGTCCAAGTCGGAGTCTGTTTCAGCCGCACAGCCACACAAGCCAACGGCACTCCGTGCAGGGTCAAGCGGACACTGATCCAAGTAGTCTGCCACACCGTCTCCGTCAGCATCTGCAGCAGCAGCCGCACAGCCCGCCGACGGCCGGGCCGCGCGGGCCGACAGAAGGCCTGTTTCTGGGAGCCGCTTCTGAGGACTGCCAATGCTGCAGGTGTCCAGAATCCAAAGGCTGCCAAGCCCTGTCATGTGAAATCCGGAGAAGCTCTCGAAATGGCACAAATGCCCGCTGATGCATGTCCTGTGCTGTTGAAGTGGTGCAGGCCCCACCAAATTCAACTCGCCGATATCAAGGGCGAAGTCTTCGAAAGTGCTGCAGCTCATGCCTGTGCCACACCAGCATAGACGGTACTGTCCGGCTGTTAGCAGTTTGGGCTCAAACTCAAATGATGCCTCACTTCCCGAAGCCGACAAGGGGAGCACCGTCCAAGGATAGCGATGGGTTTCCTCATTCCGGCTGCAGGTGTCCATCACAATCAGCCTGTCGTGCTGTGCCAAGCCTTGGCCCGTTGGGTCTACTTGGCAGGTCAAGCCGTTGATGCAGGTCCAGCTTTGCCTCAAGGGAGCCGGCCCTGCCATCCAAAACTGGCCCACATCCACACGGAACTCCTCCGGCTTTTGGCAGCCCTGGCCGCACCAGCAAAGCCGATAGTCCCCACCTTCCGCCGCAGTCCTCACAGATCCAAACCCGAGAACGCCGCTGGAATTCGAGGAGAGCCAGCCGCCATCTGGCAAGCCTTCCACTGCTGCAAGCATGCCGCATGTGCTCAGGACTGCAACATGATCATCTGCATGAAGATAGCTTCCCAGCAAATTGTCTACCTGACATGGCTGGCCAGCAACACAGGTACGATCTTGCACCAGTGGCGACGGCCCCACCACCTGCAACGAGCCAAAGTCTACCACGAAGTCGCCCTGAACAGAACATGCGAAGCCAGCAGCACACCAGCACAAGCGGAACTCGCCGCCTGCTGCAGTAACGGGAACGCCAAACTGCAGGCTGAGCCCGTCATTCGCAATGTCTGTTTGGTTCGGGCAGGAGTCATAGCAATCTGGAATGCCATCACCATCACTGTCGACATCCGCCATGTTGCAACCGCACAAACCGGCGGTGACCTGGACAATTCCAAACAACAAAGATCGACAGGACTCAACTGCGAATGATAAAACAAAACAAACAAAGCAATCTCCGCGTCACAGCGCATTTGACCCAAGGGCAACCCCTGTTCCAGCCTTCTCGGCATCATGGGGGCACTGATCCGCGCAGTCGGGCACGCTGTCCCCGTCCGCGTCGGAGGCATCACAGCCGCAGGGGCCCATGGCCGTGGCCGTGGCGGGAGAGTTGGGGCAGAGGTCCAGGCAGTCCGGCATCCCATCGCCATCGGAGTCGGTGTCTGCCAGGCCACATCCACACTTGCCAACGAAGACCTTGTTGCTGTCTGATGGGCACTGATCCACACAGTCTGCCACTCCATCCAGGTCGCTGTCGGTGTCGGCCATCCTAGCAAATGCCAAATATCAAAATGCCAGGGTTCGCAAACACCGGCTGTCATCACTTTTTTGTTGCTGCGACCTGCTCCTTTTCAAGTCAAGCTTTCAATGCTGCCATGGCACCCACATCCGCAAGCACCGAAAAGGGTCTTAGTCGCATCACCGGGGCATTGGTCAAGACAGTCCGCCACCCCATCCAGATCGGAGTCAATCTCTGTCATGCCTGGCGTGACAAATGCCAACATCTTCCCTCAAAACCTGACACAGCCCTAAAAAGGTGGTTTCAAGGCAAGGCAATGTTCTGGGCTCCGGCTGGACAAAAATGGAACACGAAACACAACGCGCACACGAACACTTTAACAGGCTATCGCCGCAGGTCCAAAAATCTGAAATGTCTCGAGCAAATTGGTATCCAAATCCTAGCACAAAGACTTTGTCATGTTGACACATATTGGTGTGTACAAAAAGACAACTGTTCACAAAAAGTGCCCCAGTCGCCAGTAGCACAGCCCAAGCCACATGGACTCTCCACAGCATGCAGCAAGGAAAAACATGAGTGGATGTCAGACAAGCTCGACCAACAAAAAAACAGGGGCACTGGATTGCCCCTTCAAAAGTTGCAATTTATTGGTGCCCTTGAAACTGCTACGTTTGAAGGTTCCAACGAGGGCAATGGAGAACACTCTGGACAATGCCAGGCCTGTATTGACTGTGATTGTTGCTGTAGGGCTACCATCAAAGTCAACCACCTGGCAGCCACATTGTCCTGGGCTTGTTCTCGATGGATCCTTAGGTATCGAGCAAGGTGTCGAACACACTCATGGACCCCTAAAAGGCATCCCTGGATCAGCCCAGGATAAGCCCTGGACAAGCCCTGGCCTTCAAGGATTAGTAAGGGATCCCCTCCCCTAGCCCTCGATAGGGGTCCACACTGAGTCCAGCTGAGCGCGCCAAGTGGCATACGGGCAGAGGTCCTGGTAATCCAAGGTACCATCATTGTCTGAGTCCAGACCAGCAATGAAGCCGCATGGAATGCTTCCGGGTCCAAGGGAGTCTGCCATCCATGGACAGTTGTCATTACAATTTGGCGTGCCATCACCATCCTCGTCTGCTTCAGACACCCCACAGCCGCAGGTACCTGCCCTGGTTTTGAGTGGATCTAAGGGGCATTGGTCAATGCAGTCGGCAATGCCATCGCCATCAGAATCGTCATCAGGCTCGCCGCATCCACATGTCCCCAAGTACATCTTCCCAGAGTCCTTTGGGCACTGGTCGATGCAATCTGGGGCACCGTCACCATCAGTGTCCGTGTCAAGCAAACCGCAGCCACACGCACTGCCCAGCCCAGATGCCAGGCAGTTGCTGTTGGTTTCGTAGTGGGTGCCGCCTACGTCAGAAAAGCCAGAGCCCAATGTGGAGTTGCTCATGGCAGGCTCTGCAAATACTTCAACGTTGCAAATGGACAGCTGGCTTGTTGACGGCATAACCAGCCAAATCAGCTGCCCCCGGGCCTGACAGTGCTTGAAAATTGAGATGAACGACTGTTTCCATGGGCAGACTAGGTCTCACATGTTCCAAAGAACGGTACCGGTGTATTCAGCACCTTACCCACGTGGCATGACCCTAGAAGTACTGTCTATCTTGAAGACTGTACAGTCTGACGCACCTGTCCCAGCTAAGCCACATCCCGCCTTGTGATGCTACCTGTTTGAATTTCACATCCCGCCTGACAGTGAATGTCAATGACAGGAGCTTCCTCGCCAACTGCAGGCAGAGGAGGCTGCAGCGTGACACTGCCACACTGAGTACCATCACTGAAGCTCAGAGCACCTGAGCACAACGCCCAGAACCAGACAGCTTTAAGAGCAAAAAGTCAAAGCATGCCCAAACTGAAGTTAACATGGATAAACCGTCCGCCACCAACTTGAGCCCACTTGACATGCAGAGAAAACCTGTTCAAGGCAAGGTGCTGATGTCGCTCATCCAGACTTCCAGGCCAAGCAAGCTGGTGTCGCAGCAGTCGGTGCGCGGGGTCAATCGCACCAGCTCGACATCAAACACATGGGCCAAATCAACGTACCAGTAAGGATGGCTCTCCATTGTTGTCAGCGTGCAGCTCCCATGGTAGAAGTTGGCACTTACCGTCTCATCCACTGCCAGTTGCGAATTCCTGTCTGAAGCTGTGGAGGACTGGTGCGTCACCTTAGAACCCATGACCAGCCACTCGGGGCCAGGGCAGATCCCCGGCCGATACTTGTTGGGATCAGTCGGGCAGAGATCAAGACAATCAGGAACGCCATCAAGATCCGAATCCGTCTCAGCCACATTGCACCCGCAAATGCCTGCAAGTTTGGATTTGGCTGGATCTTGCGGACATTCGTCCAGGCAGTCGGGAACGCCATCTGAATCCGAGTCTATGTCGTCAACCCCGCATCCACAAAGGCCAACCTTGGTCCTGTTTGGATCAAGCGGACATTCGTCCAAGCAATCTCTGACGCCATCCAAGTCTGAATCACTGTTTCCTGCTGCGCATTCGCACATCTGCACGACATCCATGCGGCCAGAGTTGGGGAAGCGGGGCAAGGTTGTTGCAACGCCACATGTATCAAGCACCAGCACGCTGTCTCCTGCAGACAGGTGCTTCCCCTGAATGCCTTCCAAACTGCAAAGCTGACCACTCACGCACGTTCCAGCGTGCATGTCTCTGGGACCCACAATGTTCAGGGCCCCCACATCCGTGCGGAAACCATCGATGCAGTCAAACTGGCCGCTGCACCAGCAAAGTCTGTACTGACCACCAGGCCAAGCTAAAACTGCTGGCTCAGTGGAGGCCGAGAGAGTGGACTCACTCAGGGCTACGCTCAGTGTCACTGGCACAGCGGATGACATGATACCACAAGTACCCAGAATGAGAAACTGGTCTGACGCTTGCAAGTGGTACCCGGAAATGCCATCAAAGGAGCAAGTCTGACCACTGACGCATGTCCTTGCCTGCTGCAAGGGGCTGATGCCCAGAACGAGCAGCTCCCCCACGTCAACTCGGACGTCATCTGGGTGGTCGCAGGTCGCAGTGTCTGCGCACCAACAGAGGCGGAAGGTGCCACCGGCCGTCATGAGGAAACCGCTGTCCAAGGCGAGCTTCGGAATCAGATCACCTGAAATGTTCACCTGGGTGAAGCTGCCTGACCAGCCATATGCCGACAAGTGGGCAAAGCCCTGCCCGCAAGTGTCAAGGACATGCAAGGATCCAGTGATGCCCTCCACGCGGATGTCGTCCACTGTGCACGGTTCTCCAGATACGCAGGTGCGGGACTGCGAAAGCGGCGCCGGTCCTTGGATCATCACAGCTCCCACGTCCAAGGAGAAGGCCTGCGCGGAGTTGCAGTCGAACCCCCGGCTGCACCAGCAGAGTCGGTACAAGCCACCGGCCAGCGTCAGCAGCCTGCGGCCGTAGGTGGGGTACGCCGTGCCGACTTCTGTGGAGTGCACCTCCCCTGCACCACAGGTCGCCAGCAGCGCCAAGGAGTCGCCCTGGCGCAAGTCGAAGACCACGGACCACTCCGTGAAGGATCCGGTCGGCCACCATGATGAATCGCCCCAGCCATCCATCAGGTTCTGGGCCAGGTAGATGATGGGGTTCGAAGGATCCGATAGGTCCTCCGTCGCTGTTCCGGTTGCCAAGTCTTCCACCACCCAGTCTGTGGCGCTTCGGTACGCACCGTTGAACTGCACCTCACGCGGCCGGGGCGGGCCAGCACCCCACGTCTGAGTGATACGCCACCGCCAAAATGGAGCTGAGATGGGTGTCCAGGAGCAGTTTTGCCAGTCTGTTTCCTCCAGAGCGGTGCACGTTGCCAGCGTGATCCATGTTGCAGCCAGCGGGTTGGACAAGTCCATATCATATGACATCTCCACGTAGTAGTCCTTCACGTTGAACTGACTCGCCGTGCCATCTTGCAAGAAACGAAATTCTGCAACCTCCTCAAGCTTCAGAGGCTCGATGAAGCTCCCTTCGATGGTTCCAAAATTGCAGAGCTGCCCGCTTGTGCAGGTCCTGTACTGCTCCAGCGGCTGCGGCCCGACGAGTATCACGTGGCCGATGGATAGGAACTCCTCGCCGCCGGGCCTGCAGTCATTGCTCGCTGCACACCAACACAACTGGTACAATCCTCCCGCGGCGGTGACGATGTCTGCGCCAAAGCTGAAGATTGCGCCGCTGGCCCCGACACTTGAGAACAAACCGCCTTGCGGCCAGCCGCTCACCGGGGACGACGTGGAACAGCTATCCAGCACCACCAAACTATCCAGTGCTGTTGGGCCCAAGAGGCCTTCAAGCACACACGGCTGACCCGCGATGCAGGTATGGTGTTGGGATCGACTAGGGCCTAGCAAGGTCACTTGTCCAAAGTCAACCCTGTGCTGCGAGAACAGGTTGCAGTTGTCCACAGTCTCTCTCAAGGGCTGGCACCAGCACAAGCGATATGTTCCTGCCGCTGCAGTAACAGGCACTGAGAATTCCACTGCGATGGTCTGGGATCCAACAAAAGTTGCTGCCAACGCCTCAGCCAGCCAGCCGTTGGAAAATGTCCCAGAGCCACAACTGTCAAGAATTGCGACTGAATCATTGGCGGACAAGTCATTGCCATACACGAAGGAGATATCACAAGCAACTCCCCCAATGCAAGTCCACTGCTGGATCAACGGTGAGGGTCCCACCAGGGAAAGACTCCCTACATCCACTCTGTATTCATCGGCTGTGGAGCATTGACCAACGGCAGAGCACCAGCACATCCTGTACTGCCCGCCAGCCTGGGAAGTAGATGCTACTACCCAACGTCTGTGTCCATCTTCACCCGGCACGCTGGTATTGGAGCCGGGTTCGAAACTAAGTCCATTTCTGTCATCAGCACCGCAAGTGTCAAGAACCATCAGGTTGTCCATGAATGACAGGTCTCCTTGCAAACCGTCCACAACACAGGAATAGCCCGAGACGCAAGTTCTGTGCTGTG